TAAAGCTGGAAGGAAGCTTAAGCAAATTTTTACTTTATATGAAGCAGTCTCGGGACAAGCAATCAACCTACATAAATCCACCATCACTTTTGGAAGTAAAGTGAACGATGATGTCAAGAGAAGAATGAGGAATTTATTGGGAATCCATAATGATGGAAGAAATGGTAAGTACTTAGGTCTACCAGAGCAGTTTGGAAGGAAGAAAAGTAAGATGTTTCAATACATTATTCATAAGGATAAAGCAGCAACACAAGGCTGGAATAAGAAATATGTTACACATGGGGGTAAGGAAGTACTGCTGAAGGCCGTGGCTCTTGCCATGCCAATATTTTCGATGAATGTATTTCGTCTTCCAAGAGATATTTGTCAGGAAATAAACTCTATTCTTGCCAAGTTCTGGTGGGTTTCAGGGATAAAAATGGGATGCATTGGTACAGCTGAGAAAGGTTAAGTGTACCAAAACGAGAAGGTGGTCTGGGTTTCAGGGATTTAGAAAAATTTAACCAAGCTCTGTTAGGAAAGCAAGTATGGTGTATAATGCAGAAACCACAAAGTCTTATGGCACGAATTTTAAAGGCTAGATATTTTCATGAGGGAAATATCTTCACAGCTACCATTAAGAAAAAGGCTTCATATGTTTGGAAGTCTCTAATGTATGGAAGAGATCTATTAAAACAAGGCATGCGCTTTGTTATTGGAAATGGTGAGACGGTCAATATGTGGGTTGACCCCTGGCTTCCAGTCCATCCACCAAGAGCTCCAAGAGCAATAAATGGAAACATGGAGCTGGAGAGTGTTCGAGATTATATTCAAGAGGATGGATCTAGTTGGAATGTTTCACTACTCAGAGACCGAATTGTTCCCGAAGATGTTGAAACAATCTTGAACATTAAGATAAGTTCAAAAGCGCAGTTAGACCTATTAGGCTGCCATTACACTGATGATGGTATTTATACTGTCAAGTCTCGGTATTGGTTGAGTACACATTTGCCAGAGAGGTGTGGTGCAACAAATATGGGGAGATCCTCTGCTGAAACAAAAAATATGGAAGTTAAAGAGTCCTCTAAAGATCAAACATTTTATTTGGAAGGTACTATCTCGATCACTACCAGTTGGAAGTAACGTCAAAAGACGACATATTACGAGGCATGATCAGTGTATGAGATGCTGTGCAGGCGTTGAAACAGAATTACACATGTTGTTTGAATGCCCATATGCACAACAAATTTGGCGAGCATCAGGTATCTCAAGCAATATCATTACTGGTTCTTATGCTACTTTGGAGGAAAGAATAGAAGCATGTATTTTTTGCAACACATCTCAGCGTTTATCACATTTCCAAGAGTTTCCTATCAGTTTACTTTGGCGAATTTGGCAGAGTAGGAACTTGTTAGTTTTCCAACAAAAGAATTTACAAGGTTGGGTGATAATTAAGCAAGCAAGAGATGATGTAGCTGAATGGCTACAACATGCAACTGAGGAAACGTGGGAAACAAGACATTGTGGAACTAGAAAACCAAGACAAAAATCTGTATGGCGAAGACCAAAAGAAGGATGGGTGAAGTGCAACATCGATGGTTCTTTCATTAATTTGAATTTAAGAAGCAAAGCAGGATGGGTTCTTCAGGGCCACAAAGGAGAGTTTATTTTAGCAGGAAAAACTTGTGGAAGAAGAGTATCTTCTTCTTTAGAAGCAGAGTTTCAAGCATTGTTACTGGCAATGCAACATTGTTGGTCTCGAGGATATACTAAAGTATGTTTTGAGGCAGATAATCAGAAGATGGTTGATATTTTGAACTCCAGTAGACTGCAATTTGATCTTTATAACTGGGTACGTGAAATAAGGTGGTGGACACAACGGTTCCAAGCTTGTGATTTTACAAGGATTGGACGAGATGCGAATACGGTGGCTGCTTTACTTGCTAAAGAACCTATCCAAGATGGAAATTTATTTCTTTGTCATAACTATGTACCACAAATAATTACAAACTCTAGGTAATTTCATCTGTTATCTAATAAAAGTAGTTGGAAGGAAAAAAAAAAAACTTAGCGACATCAGGGAAGTCATCATTATATAGCGAGTTTGATTATCTAATCAAAGTCGCCTTTTATTTGAATCTTTTTTTTTGACCTGATAAATTTATAATATTTTTTTTGGTGTAAATAAATTTATAATATAAATGAGGTTTTTCACTTGCTTTTCCCTAATCTATTCATTAATCGCCCACTCGAATTCCATTTTCAACAATATGCATAGTTGATTACTTAAGCAAGGTTTGAGAAATATTGACACACCATGAAAAATATCTTATTCGAGTCGGAACTTGTAAATGTTGTAAAAAGTTATCATATTGATTGTAAGTAAGTAGTTGTTGTTCTACTCTCAATTTTTTTTTTAAAACTGGACATGAGAAGTTTTTGGGTCATGGTTCAATGTGGTCACTAGATTCAACCAACTTTAGTTCTTTTATTAAGAATAATACCATAATATATTTTAAAACTTTCTTACATCAATTTATTTTATACCTATAAATATAATGTTTGGTATATAGATATCTAAATTTAATAGAAAATAGCTGCCAAAACATCTCATAGTTTTAAGGTATAGAAAGTGAGACACTTGAACTATCTTCCATTTTGTAATACAATACAAAACAAAAATCCAAAGAATCTATATTGAAACATAAACATTACAACTTCTTCTAGATGGATTTTAAAGTTGAACCTCCTATTATTTAGGTCATCTTAATTTTAACTCAATCTTTAATAAAATATTTCCTTAAATAATCTGTTATTAACAATCATAATTATTTTCTTCCATATCTCATCTAATATTTCCAATTCGAATATTTCTATGTATCCATCCATATACATTCAACCAATATATTAATCTATAACTATGTATTATATTCCCACTATAAAACAAACTAAATTATATATCTTCATTTATGTCAATTATTTGCAGACGATTTGCTAATATACATTTATTAATATTTATATCGATACTATCAATACTATTAAATAATATTATTTTAATACTATGAAATTGACCAACTCTACACTTTCATTGTCCATATTCATTATACGACAAACTTTAAACTATAAGTGGGCATTCGGATTCCATCCGGATTCGGTTCGAATCTATTTAGGTTTCAAGTTTTTGAAGTAAAAAATTTCTCCATTCGAATATTTATTAATTTCGGTTCGGATTCATTTCAAATTTCGCCGGTTTAGATTCGGAAAACCAATTTAATTTTTTCACCGTACATATATCTATAATACACTTATGACTAGATATTAATACAAATCATGTTGTTTAGTCACATAAAATAAGTATAGATAAATTTAAAAATATATAAATCTAAACAATGTCAAATACATATAGAATTTGTTAAACAAAAATAAAATTCGCGTGGATGCGCGGATCATGATCTAGTACATGAATTAATGGTAAACCAAATTAATTATCTCCACTATAAATCAGTTAGAGTATAAAATAAAGGGAAAAAGAATCAGTAATTTTGAATTTTAAATTTGGTTTCGATTGTCTTACAGCTGTAACTTGTAGACTTTGTAAAATGGTTAAAAACTTGAACTAATTTAATGATGAAAATTTAAAGATCTCCAAAATTTATTGAAAAACCATATATCTAATTGTTTGATAAAAAAATTTATGGAACAAAAATAATTGTCAAATTGAAATTCAAAGTTTTACATCTAATAATCGAATAGGGTTCGAAATTAGTTCAATGGTTCACCGATTTTTGTCTGATTTAATGTAGGTCTTAGCTGGTTTGATTTCTCGGGGTTTTACAATCAACCCTATCCAGCTAGGACTGGGACAGATCCGGATATCCGGGAAAAATTGAAGTATCCGGGTCCGGATTCGTCGGATCCGTGATTTTAGTATCCGGAACGTCTTTCAGATATTCGAACTTCGGATATCCATCCATAAATTATAATATCCACGGATATCCGGGTTCGGATCCGTAAAAATAATTAAAAATATCAAAAATATTAAAATTAAAAAATTCTAAAGTTAATATGTAATTAAATATTTATGCAAATTTTATGAATATAAAATGACATATAATATTAGAAATATTAAAATAGAATGTTAGAAACTTATTTTATGTATAAGTATTAATATTATCAGATATAATTAATAATAAAATAAAAATTTAATATATTTGTAAAATACGGATCCGGATATCCGGACCTAAAAATTAAAATATCCGGATTCAGATCCGGTTTGGACGGATCCGAGATTTTACTATCCGGATTCGGATCCGGCCACCGCGGATATCCTATTTTTGTAGCGGATCCGGAGAGGATCTCGGATCGAATCCGAATCCCGGATAATAAATCCCAGCCCTATATCCAGCTATGTCTCTGGTTCACGGTTGAACCTGGTTCGACTGCCCATCTGGTCCAGTTTTGAAAATACTGTTTTACTCTACTGATCTATACTGGAAAATCGATTCTCACTTGATACATTTTAACCACCATGCGTGATTATTCACATAATTTTTGGTATAAAATCCATCCTAGAGACAAGACCACCTAAGAAATCAACGAGTGTTTACAAATGGATCGCACATGCGTAAAGCGCTTGACTAGTCATAGGCCCCAACACGTACAATAAGTATATATTAAGATGTCGTTCGTTTAAATATGCGTACTAAACCATAATGCGGCGATCTTTATCATTTTCATACTATTCAAAGCACCAATTTGCACTTTGCAAGTCGCAAGAGTCACTTGCTACGATGGTTAAGATTTAATATGATTATTATTGATGTTTTTGGTAATGAAGAAAAATGAAGGCAACGAGAAAAACCGTCGTCAGTGACAACTCACGCTTGCACTTGCCTTAAGCACTCAAGTCCTTAATTAGATATAGCTTAACCCATCTCCACTACCATTACTAGAAACCATTCCAATAAGACTCTATAAATAGAAAGCCTCCTGGGATCACTTCTTTCCTCATATACACTCATACACACCACGTTAACTACTACACAATTGCAACTCATCTCTCTCCATTTCTATTGCCTTTCTATTCATAGAAACGAGTTGCAATATATTGTAACTGTAATGGCTAAGTTGAGCTTCTCCTTATGCTTCTTGTTGTTTCTTCTGCTAGCCTCAGTCGCCATGGGAAGCCGTCCTCTTGAGCAGGCTCCAGTCGGGGTGAAGCTGAGAGGTCTAATCCCTTCTATTAAGGCTACGAGCGCGTCTGCACTGAATGGTCAAGCTGCAGGTAACAACAGCAGCCATGGAAAAACTCCAGAGCGGTTAAGCCCTGGAGGACCCGACCCGCAACATCATTAGTTATTTAGGGTTTCCTTTATAATTAAGTGAATTGTTCTCAATTTCTTTGAGATTTGTAATTCTTATCAATAATTTGGTTGCAATGAATCTGTTTTTTTTTCTTTTGTAACAGAATTGTGAAATTGGGTTTGTAAGATTATTTCAAGGTACTGTATCGATAGTTTCGTTATCGTACATTAAATATTCTAAATTTTGTTATTTTACCTTTGTTTGTAAACAAGGACCGTATTCCAGTATCGGCAATTTATATATAAAAAAAAGAGAGTTTCCGTTTCTAATACTACTATTGTTTTGTGCATTTACAGTAGTATATAGCAAACGCAAGGTACGTATGAGGTTGATTTAAATGGTCCTGCATGTAGGATTCCTTCGTATGATTACATCGTGTCTTACGTCGATTATGACTAGTATGTTAAAAGCAAAGTTAATAACAATGATTTTATCGAAAAAAGTTGATAATGATGGAGTTCATGTAGGTGACTCGTGACTGTGATATTTTCATAGATTTATATAAAAATAAAGACGTTTGGAATATTAGTAGTATAAATAATCCCATTACATATTAATAATATAAATATATCTGGACACTCGTTACAGAATTTTTGAATATGCATGTTGTATAACCACATTTCAGAAATAAGAAAGATATGAAACCAGAGCACACCATACAAAACCATGTTAGTTTGTTGTTATTGTTTTAGTTAGATTTTCTTTCGTAAATTTTTACACATCATAAGAAATTTGAATTACATAAATGATAAATCTCAGTGCAGTTTTTTCAATGCAAGAATACACTTTTTAAAATTCAACATGTATATTTTAATTGATATCCTAGATTGGCTGTACAGACTTTAAGTGATGTCCATCATTTTCTGAGCATTTGGTCCATCAGTTATACAAAAACAGATTTACGAAAAACTATTTATCAAAAGGTCTGTTTATCTTGATAAATCATGCCTTACATTTAACCAAATAACTAATACTATGATTAGAGTATTTATGATATGGATTCTAATATGATGGTAGATTCGTGTTTATTGTGGATTTCTGAAATTGATGAATACTTTATCCCTAATAGGTCATGAGTGGAAAAGAGAGATTCCGATGAAAATCATATGTATATCATGCTTTACAGTGAACCAAACATCGAATACTATGATCTCCCATGGATGATGGGTGATGAATGAAAAAGACAGATTCCGATGAAATGATATGCGTATCAAAAGAACTTAATTAAGATTAACCGAACATTTCACACGTATAAAGAGATAAATCACTATCTTATAAACTACAGTATACATTTATTAAAATTGAAAAAAGCATTGGACCTAAAAGTTGACGAACGTGAAAACCAAAATGGATTATCGGCTGAAAATGGCACCATCAAATAAAGCTTCTTTTTTCGACGAACAAAAGACGGCGAACGTGAAGCATTCTTATTTTTGTTTGTTAAAACTTAAAAGCAAGTCGTATTTTTACGCAACGCCAAAAACTAGTGACATATCACACGACCCAAATGGACCCCCGTTATAAATTGTAGCAACCTTTTTTTTTAAAGCATGGTGACCTTCTTGTCATATTGTAAACATACGCACGATTTGGATAATATATAAATCTTAAGAATTCTAAATGTTATATTATAAATGATAGTCTTCACAACAATTGGTAGCTTTCATTTTTAAGTAAAACTCAAATATAGTATTGAGCACAAAGATTACTAGGCGCCTTTATAGACTATAGTATATACTTTACAGGGAATAAACTTGTGTATACTATATCATAAGCAAACACTGCAGAACAAAACATATGAATCATGAATTACATAGCTTACAAATTTACATCTTTTGAAAGACAGAATGTTCTCATAATATGTTAATTCGTTTTTAAATAGAATTTAAATGAATCAACATATATTAAAAGGATCTTTTTTGACACTCAACATTATAAGGATCTTATTCGAGACTTTAGATTATCTAAGCATTAAGATGTTAAACTGTGTTCAGTCAAGAAACAAGATGTGAAACAGTGATAGTGTCAAACTTTAGTAATGAAAAATATTATTATTAAAAATGCCAAAAACTACAGGCGGCAAATCGGTAAGAAAGTGGGGACCGTATATTGCACATCTCATTTAAGAAAAGAGAAAATGATTACATATATTGAAGGTCCCTAAATCGAATACTGATTTTTATTTCCTCTGGAACATTTGATTCCCTACTATATATATATTCCCATAAAATATCATTTAGAAAATGTTTATTAAAGATTCCGCTTAAAGGATTAGTTAAAACAATCCATAGTGGATTCAAATTATTAGTAAACGAGATTCAACTTTATAATAGTTTTTCATTTTTCAAACTTTATTGGCTCCTCAACTGAATCATATATTTTAGTTGCAAATCATATTAGATATGGTCAAATATTTGAACCCAAGAAAAAAAAACCCAAAACAGATAAATTGGGAGATACCAAACTGAATCGGATCGGTGTAAAATATTTGAACAAGTGGTAGACCTACTACTCAAAAACTGCTATCAAGCTTGATCAGAATTGGTATCCAATTTTTTTTTTCAAATTATACGTATAATTCCCAAAAATAGCTGTTATTATACTTGTAATAACTATATCAAGAATTCAATTATGAATCCAAAAGATTCCTTTTTGATATTTTAGATAAAATAAAGTAGTTTGAATACAAAATAGACTGAATTTATATTTCTGTTGGATCTAAACTATACCCATATATAAGCACATATCTGAATCGACTTGAATCCGGTAGTTTGAATACAAAATAGACTGAATTTATATTTCTGTTGGATCTAAACTATACCCATATATAAGCACATATCTGAATCGACTTGAATCCGAATCAGAACCGAGTTAAACCTTATCCCAAGTATCTGATGAATAGGAGATGTACTTCTGGTACCAATATATTCAAAATCTGAAAGAATCGTCTGAATGCGAACTAATACAAGAATGGTCAGGCTCAAACCTAAACTATACGGTAAAAATGGATTTTAGAAAAGCCAAGAGAAAAGCCATCTTGCACTTTTTTTTTTTTTGAGCAACAGCCATCTTGCACTAAGACCCACATATATATATATATATATATATATATATTACAGCTAGCCTAGCTAGGTTCTAACTTCACAACATTAAAGAGTATGAATATATTAAGTTACCAACTCTAATTTTTTCTTAAGAATAAAAATTGGTCATCTTTTATAACACATTAATGACAAATGATGATAAAATACTTACAAATTAATCATCTACTATATTATGGTCTTGATTCATTAATTTTTTTTAACACAAAAATAAAATCTCTTTATAATTTCTCTTGAAAATAGAAAATACTTATTATATAAATATACATTAGAGAAAATTCATCTCTATAATAATTTTTTCTCTTAATTTAAAGATGGGTCGAGATGTTTTAAATCTAATCTATTAAAAGGGAAGTACATTTAGTACTTAACCCTAAGTTTTACATAAAATTACAATTTTATGCCACTAAAATTAAAACACAGTAGTTTTATACATTTTTCTAAACTGTACTTTTTTTACACCAGCCAATTAATTAAATTTGGACAGCCTAGACCTTACATTTTTCGAAACCAAACCGAGGAAACTAATAACATGTCGTTTCATATATTCAATTATCCATTACAAACGTAGATACGTCTTCTTCTTCTCCGTTTGCTATAGATAGAACCTTCCAACAACAACAATTCAAAAAAATTATCTCTTCTTTTCCAAGGTTGTGCCCATATACTTTATGAAGAAAAGTTGTCATGACCCAAACCCACCCAATACACAATTCCCAGCCCATTACCCAAGCCCAATCGTTTTGGCCTAAGGTATCCCATATAAAACCTATTTTCTTCCCCAATATTTCATTTCATGCAAGTGAAAGAGAAGTTTTAGAGAGAGAGTTGAGAGAGTGATTGGTTTTTGTAGAGAGAGAGTCGCCTGAGCTTGTCGCCGGAGCCACCACGTCCGGAGTACTCGTCCAGCTCGTCACCGCCGACCCCCAGCCTAGGTAACCACCGCGAAACCCCCTTGAAACCATGAGCTTTAAGTTAGTTTTTATCCGTTTAGTAAAACGACCATAACTTCCTAACCGTTGAGAATATGTTGCATGCAAGGCCACCATCGTGTTCTACTCGTCGAGACAAAGCCGTAGACCCCAAAAACGCCGAGATCCGACACCGGAGCCGCCGTCACGCGCCCCCCGAAGTTGAGCCGCCGCGCGCGCGTGAAGCACACGCGCCACCGCGTCATCGCCTGAGCCGCCGCAGCCGGCCGCCGTCCCTCCGCTGCCGGGAAGCCTCCGCCGCCGCGCCGCCGCCGCCGGTGACCGCCGGTAAGCCACCGTCCTTTTCGCCGGAGCCGGTGACCGGAGATCGGTGACTCGCCGGTGACTCGGTCAACTCGGCCGAGTTGACTCGGTGAGTCAACCGTTGACTCGGTCGACCGGTTTAGGCTGGTCCAAATCGGTTAGTTGTTGGGTTAGTTAAACCGACGGTTAAAATTAATTTGAAATCGGTTAAGGATAAACCGAATTGAAATTGATTTGGTTTTGGTTCAATTGAAATCGAATTCGGTTAAGGAAAACCGGTTGGTCCAATTCGATTTCAATTTGGTCAAGGGTTGACCGGCTTGGGTCAGAGTTGACCGGGTTGACTTTGACCTGCGAGTTGACTTTTCCGAAATTGCCCGTTTTCGACCGTTCGAAGGTCATTCTGACTCGGAATTTCGATCTGATTTCAGATTTGGGATCTATTTGAGCAGCTGGAGTTCATAGAGACTAATTTTCCCCAGTTGCTAAGGTGAGGGTCTACTTCGAACGATTCGTACGTGACTTAGAATTTTAAATAAATATAATTTATTTCTATTGTGTTCCGTCTGCGTGAAATCGAGTCTGTCTTTGCTTGATTAGTTTTAGGTTGCTTGCTTAAACCGGAACTAGGTGGTTAGAGGATTCAACATTGATTGCTTCGCTTAATGTAATCATTTAGTTATGATTGCTTGGGACGGGTACAGAGACGTAATTCTGTATGGCCGGGTGTTTGTGGGCTACGGATAGCTGCAGTCGACCGGCTGGGTCGTAGTTCGTTAGGTTGATGAATCGTCTTCGGGCGGTGTTACTGGGCACTATCCCAGCGTTTTGGCCTGTTAGTGGGCAGCGGGTGTGTGACTCGCTAGGACCATTGTTTGTTTGCTTGGGTA